CACATCTAAAGATTAGAAGATATAGATTGTGAATAAATAAGCTTAAAAAGTATCTAACCAAATGACTTAAACTATTTTGATAGAGTATACTATCATTGAGCATACTTAAAATAAGAAATCTAATATGGTATTAGAGCCATTCAATTGGGGACAAAAAAAAACAAAGAAAAAATGAAAAAAAAAAATCAAAGAATGAAAGATTAAAAAAAAACAAGAGTAAAAAAAACAAAGAAAGAGAGAAGGAGAAGAAAAAGAAGAAGAAATTAAATATATTTGAGCTCTCTCAAACTACATTTGAGGTCTCTAAGACTGAAAAAGGTACAAGCTCAGGCAAAAAGAAGAAAAATAAAATGGAAAAAAGGAGAGAGAGAAAGTAGTAGAGAGAATATTAGAATATAAAAAGAAGTCCTACATTTAAAAATTAGAAGATAGACTGTGAATATATAAGCTTAGAAAATACTTAACTAAATAGTTTAAGCTATTTTAGTGAAGTATATTATCCTTAAGCATACTCAATATAAAAAATCTAGTAAGATTTTCTATTAATTATATATTACCTTCACACATCTTCAATCCCTTGCCCCAACAGAAATGATAAAACTAACGGTGCTACAAGGGAAAAGTGAGTTACTTTCCGGGTAATCCCAAGACAATCTTGGACTTGGTAAGTATTTAGGTTCTGCTGTGCTTTACATGGCTTACTGTAAACACAATTCATATGATGACATGTCATTTAAATGGCTTTTGAATCCGTTAGCCAGGATAAATTGGTATTATGGGTGGTATAACGGACATGCTTTGCATAATACTAAGGTAGAATTATATCCAAGGATCTGGCAAGAAACTTATTTACGAACAAAGACTAATAATAAGTCCCATTCAGAGGAAAAAAAAAGTCCACGTTTTCATTTTAACAACAATTCAAATATATTAGTCATTGCGTGCAAATAATAAGCTCCTTGCCACGTTTTAACATTTGATTCTCTCTAGCTAATATTAATTACGATTCATAATAATGACGATGATGTTGACAATGCAAATGCCTATGGATAGAGTCATAAATTGTAGGGTTAGGATCCAATTTTATCCTTATATTTATTTTTTAGGAGCTCAGGGTACCCTATACTCTTTAATGGGGCAATTTTTTCCCTGAAATGTTTTTTTGAAGTCCAAAAACACCCTTCTATTAGGAAGCCGTTAACTCTGTTGTTACATGCTGATGTGGCATGTGTGTGGAGCCTACCTACAGTGACAAGTAATACTCTGACCACATCCTTGGTTCCTAATTTGCCTCTGAACTCTTTTTTTAAGAGTACCAAGCATCCTAAAGTCATTATTAAAATAAATATAATATATTACCAAAATTTTATATTATATATTTTCATATTTAACAATTTAAATAATATTATTTATAAATATTCATTCAAAATTTAAAAATTACCTTTTAAATATTAACAACTCAAACTAGCATTTTATAAATTTATAAATAATTTTTTATTTTTACTTATCAATCTTCGATCTTCTTTTTGAGATAGTGCCTAAATTGTTATATCTTTTGTGCATGTCAAAACTTATATTTTCTATATTGGTTAAATTCCTTAATTTTTTGGCCAACTAAGGATTTTTCTCTAAAATATTGCACTATCCAAATTTAATACTCTTTATATGTTATAGTGGTGGAGTAAAATCTGAATTATGACAATTAGGACAAGAAAAAAAATACAAAAATGAGAAGAAAAAATCCATTCATTAATTTGGAAGTTCATTTCCTTCATTTTTAATATAAATTTACAAAATATTAAAAATATTAAAATGTTAAATTGGGGGTGTAATTCTTTGAATAATGATACTTAAATTATTAAATATTAAATAATGTAACAAAAATATTTATTAAATTTTATTTCAATAAGACTTCAAGGTTCCTAGCGCTCTTAAAAAAGACTTTAACGTATTCAATGTTCTTAGAAAAAAATTTAGGGGTAAATTAAGACCAAAGAACATGGTCAAAGTCTTATATGTTAGTATGCATGGGCCCTGTACATGCTACTTTAGCAAAAAATGGAAAAATTCATAGTTCATTAATAGAGGGAGTTTTATGCTTCTCAAAAAAATAGTCCAGGGGTAAAATTACTCCATTTAAGAGTATAGAGTACCCAGCGCTCTTAAAAATAAGTACATGGGCAATACTGGACCTTAATCCTGAACTATATGATGGCAGCAATAGTGAATCATTTGAAGGAGGTCACTTTAGATGTTGAGAGTTAGAATAAAATAGGTTTTGGGCTGTCATTTTTAATTTGGGCTAAGCCCAATCAATATTACTGCCAGTTAGTATTACTTACTTGTTTCTTATTTCTTAATGTGTATTTAAGGCTAGTTCAGGTTGTACTTTGGAGGCTAAGTAGCTGAAGATGGCATTCAAAATAAATAAAAGTTTTACATTGCCTTTCTATAATTTTCAACATGGCATCAAAGCGGGTTTGGATCCCTAACCCGGTTCATTTTCAGTCATAACCCTAATCTTTATCGATTCTTGTTTCTCGCTTCTTCAATTTTCATTCATCGTGCTCCCCTCTCTTTCTCAATCTGTCATCCACTATCACGTCTGATGCCATTTTCACCTAAACCTTAATATCTTTCCCAGATCTTTTCTCTCTAGTCTCCTACACTGTCCCAACCAAGTTCCTTCTTGATAATTTTCTCAACCCTCACCACGAATCCCTGCTTTCCTCCTTCCAAGATCCATCATGGTAGAAATTGATATCCTTCGACCTTCCGCTTTTGCAGTCGATTTGAACCATCCACTCTACCTTTATCCATCCGATACTCAAGCTTCAACTTTGGTAGCTCAACCACTCATCGAAAGCATGAATTATGTAATCTGGAATAGTGCGATGAGGATGGCTCTCAAGGCCAAGAACAAAATCAGACTAATCGATGGATCTTTCAAGCGAGAATCTCAAATTGAAGCTCTTCGAACCTGGTGGGATTGATGCAAGGCAGTGGTACTTTCTTGGCTCATCAACTCAGTTTCCAAGGAGATTGCGGCCAATATCACATTTTTTGAAAATGCACAAGAAGTCTGGGATGATTTGCGCAAGCATTTTAACATTACCAATGGAACTAAGATTTTCAACCTCTACCGTCTTATTAATACTCTTAACTAGGGAGGTTTATCAATCTCCAGCTATTTCACCAAGTTGAAGGAAATCTGGGAAGAATATTTCATGATTGTTCCCCTCCTTACTTGCAAGTGTCATTCCTCAATAGAGTATGCAAAAGGGATTCAACAATAGAAACTATTTCAGTTTCTTATGGGGTTGAATGACTCCTACCAATCTATTCGAAGTCAGACCTTAATTATGAGTCCCCTGCCTTCGGTCAACCAAGCATACTCCATGATCTCACAGGAGGAAGCTTAACGATCCATATCTTCTTCCTCTCTTTAATCATCTGACCAATCAGCTACTACAACCACCAGAGGCCATGGGCATTATAAAAAGGGGAGTGGTAGAGCTAATCCATCTGATGAATGCGTTTACTGTCATAGAAAAGGCCACACAAGAGACAACTATTTTCACATTATTGAGTTCCCATCCAATTTTCAAGGAGGAATGGGTCGAGGCAATTTATCCAATTGAGCAAATCACATCAAAAATCCTAGTCCTCATACTACATATAAGCCATAATATGAGGCATCATTCAATCGTCAATTGCTGTTGCCAGCTGACTATGAGAGAATCATTGATAATCTCAAGCAAGAAGTTTATACCCTTTCAAATAAGTCTCTTCCAGTAGGTAGAATGGCTATTAAAGACTCGAGAGAGTCAACAGGTTTGAATTTATGCTTATTTTTCACATTAGTTGTTAGATTCAAGGGCATCATGTCATGTTATGAGCAACTTATCCTTTTTCAATAATTATTAGGAATACTATGGCTCTTCTCTTAAAATTAAAATCCCCAATGCTAACAAACTAACCGTTACTCATATTGGTAGTGTTAGGATTTTCGATGATATTGTCTTAAATAATGTCCTTTATGCACCTAGAATATGTTATGATTTAATATCCATTTCCCAACAGACTAAAGATCAACAATGCATAATTGCTTTTTTTTCCTGACACTTGTGTATTACAGGATCTCTCCACTGGCAGAACAAAGATGATTGGTAGCATAAAATCTGGTCTCTATCTAATAGATGAAAGTCTCCCCTTGTCAACTAATATTCATGCTAGTAACTCTGTTCTTGATGATAATATTTGGCATTTGAGATTAGGACACCTATCTGACTCTATTCTTAAACATATAGTTTCAATACAGAACAATTTGTCTTCTTTAAATTCTTCCAGTTGTGGTACTCACTTTAAAGCTAAATAGATTCAATTGTCTTTTCCTTCTAGTCAAATAAAACCTGCTTCATACTTTGACTTACTTCATGTTGATGTTTAGGGGCCATATAAAGACCCTACTCATCAAGGCTATAAGTTCTTTCTTACTATCATTGATGATTTTTCCCGTGTAACTTGGATTTATCTGATGCATAATAAATTTGAGACTTTCTGTCATCTAAAATAGTTCTTTTCTTTTGTAATAGATTAGCTTGGTGTTAAGATTAAGCGTGTTTGCAGTGATAACAAAACTAAATTTATGAATTATGATGCTTCTGTCTATTTTCTTGAAAATGGTATTATTCATGAAACCACATGTGTTCACACCCCATGTAATGACTTAGATAAATAAAATAAAAATAAACACATAATAATTTGTTTAGAGTGTATTTTATTTATGTTTGGAACAATTTTGACAACAATGGGTGTTAGCATAGTGGAAGTGCATGTATAAGTCATCCACTTGGTCCAGAGTTCGAATCTGCTGAAACCAAAAAAAAGGAGTTGATTTTTATGACTTTAGTTTTGCAAAATTACCAATATACCCCTCCCATATCAGATTTATTTTTTTCTTTCTTCTCTTCCTTATTTCCGTCTCGGTTTGACGGAGGGGGAGGGAGAGAATGTTCTGGAACTCGTGCGATCTGGTCTCCGTTCCTCTGCCATCTCCGATTTCTTCTCTTCTTCCTTCACTCTTTGCCATCGCTGATGAGAGAGCTGAGATGCTGTGCGTTTTCTGTTGCTGGTCCACTGTTTTCCAGCCCATGTCTGCTTTGTTTCTTGTTCTTGACCATATTTCTTCCCCCACTCTTCTGTTAGTTGATGATGAAGCAAGTAAATAGCTGATTTGAGGTTGTAAGAGAACTAATTTAGTGGGTTGGAGGTTGGAATTGTGCTGTCTTCTTCTTCCCTTGTTCAGTCGTAGGTTCTGTTCTGTGCTTCCCTGTGCGTTTGTGATTGACTGCCTAAGGTGAGAAACTTCACTCTCTTTCTATTGCTATGTGCGTGTAGTGTTGGATGGGAACGGTGAAGTAAACTGGAAAAAAAAAGAGAGGAAAGAGAAAAGAAATCTTCTACCAGCCGTGAATGATGCAGATTTCTTGTTCTTCTTTTCTTTCATTGTTGTCGGTTGCTGAGTTGAAATCTATGAACCCCTTAATTTTTCGGTTAGCCGTAGGGAGTCTTGAGCTGTATAGTGTTTTGGCCCTCATCATTTTTTCAAAGTCGGCTCTGTCTTACTTCCTTCTTATACTATGATTTTGTTGGCTGTGGGTGCAAGGTGGTGATGGAGACTCATGTTTAGATAAGTTTCATATTGTATCTCTTCTTCCTCTAGCTTTTGGCGTGCTCATCCTTGAAATGGTATGAGATCTGAACTTTGGTTTCTTTCTTTCTGCTATTTGGCCGAGAGTTTAGGGAATGTGGATGAGATTGATAAAATAAAATCAATTATTTTCCTATTGTTAGGTGCTGATTGGAAATGTGAATTGAGAATTTTAATTATTCTAGGCTTGGAGATGGAAAACTCCGCCTATGTATATAGCCGGTCCCAAGTCCGGGTAAAGGAGGAGGGTTGTGTTAGGCCATCAACAGCCAATGTAAAAATTTGTTGAATCTATCATGAACATGGACAATAGACGTTATAATGTTAATGCTAGGTCATTGCCCGTAAGTAACGCGCTGCATGGCTCGAGTACAGTGATAAGTGAGTTAGAGCCGCTGCATCGGCGCCCGGATGTAGTGTTAAATGAGCAAGGGCTACCGCGTCATTCTGGACGCACGCGGCTAAAGAAGTTAGTCCATAAGAGCAAAATTAGATTTGGTACTTGGAATGTTGGGACATTAAATTGTAAATCTGTAGAGGTTGTAGGGGTTATGATTCAAAGGAAAATCAATATCCTTTGCTTGCAAGAAACAAAATGGCGTGGAGAAGGAGCTAAGGATATTCAAGGTTTCAAACTTTGGTATACAGGAAAAGTAAGTGCACACAATGGAGTAGGCATCATTATAAATAAGGAGTGGAAGAAGAACGTTGTAGAAGTTAGCAGAATTGGAGACAAAATTATTTCTTTAAAAATGATAATTGGATGTGAGACTGTTAATATTGTTAGCACTTATGCGCCGCAAGTCGGGACAGAAGCCAGTCTTAAGGAATTATTTTGGGAGGATCTGGAGGGGTTGATTCGACACATACCATAGAGTGAAAAGATTTTTATTGGAGGAGACTTTAATGGGCATGTCGGGAGGGAAGCTGGTCAGTATGCGAGGGTGCATGGTGGTTTTGGTTTTGGAGAGCTAAACAATGAAAGGCAAACTCTTCTTGATTTCTCATTGGCGTATGATTTTAAGATTGCCAACACTTGTTTCAAGAAGAGAGATGAGCATCTCATCACTTACAAAAGTGGAGCCTCAAGGTCGCAGATTGATTTTCTTTTGGTTAGGAACACAGATAGAAAACTTTGTAAAAATTGTAAGGTGATCCCTGGAGATGTTGTAACGACACAACATAGGGTCCTAGTCCTTGATGTGTGTATTATGAGTAAAATCCAAAAACGTCGACAAGTAGTAACACCAAGGATTAGGTGGTGGCAATTAAAAGGTGAGAAGTAAGATATTTTCAAGTGAAATCTTTTGGATAAAGGAATTTGGGATTCTCAGGGAAGTGCTAACATCATATGGGAGGATATGGCTAAAAAGATATGGGAGGTTGCAAAAGTAGTTTTGGGAGAATCGAAAGGTTCTGGTCCGAGAGATAAGGAGTCTTGGTGGTGGAATAATAGTGTACAGGACAAAATCAAGTATAAGAAGAACTATTTTAAAGCCATACATTTGTGTAACAATGAGGAAAATTGGGAGAGGTACTGTATGGCTAAGAAGGAAACTAAGAGAGCTGTGGGTGAAGCTCGTTCCAAAGCTTTTGAAGAATTTTATAAGAACCTTGAGACGAAGGAAGGAGAGCAAAATATTTATAAGATTGCCAAGAGTAAGGAAAGAAAATCAAGAGATCTAGAACAGGTAAGGTGTATTAAGGATGAAGAGGGAAGAATTTTAGTTACAGATGATGAAATTAAAAATAGATGGGAGACTTATTTTTCTAAACTTTTCAATGATGGAGAGGATTCATCTAGTAACTTGGAGGATTTAGTAACTGGTGAAGGAGAACAAAATTTGTCATTCTATCGAAAAATACGTGATAAGGAGGTAAAGGAAGCTCTTAAGAAAATGGCAAATGGTAGAGCTAACGGACCTGATTGTATATCTATCGAAGCGTGGAAATGTTTAGGTGAAGAAGGGGTGAGATGGTTAACTAAGTTATTTAATGTGATTTTACGGTCCAAGAAAATGCCTGATGAGTGGAGGAGAAGTACATTAATTCCTATTTATAAAAATAAAGGAGATATTCAGAATTGTACTAACTATAGAGGGATTAAACTCATGAGCCACACAATGAAATTGTGGGAGAAAGTAATTGAGCACAGGTTGAGATTGGAGACAAGTATTTCTGAGAATCAATTTGGTTTTATGCCAGGTAGATCAACTACAGAGGCGATTTATCTACTAAGGGGTTTAATGGAAAAGTATCGTTGTAAAGATAAAGATCTACACATGGTTTTTATTGATTTGGAAAAAGCTTATGATCGTATACCAAGAGAAGTGCTTTGGAAAGCGTTGGAAAAAAAGGGAGTACGGATTGCTTATATTAAAGCCATACAAGATATGTATGAGGGGGTAAAAACTAGTATAAGAACACCTAGTGGTCAAACAAAGGATTTTCCTATAAAGATTGGACTACATCAGGGATCATCTCTGAGTCCTTATTTGTTCAACTTGATTTTAAATGTTTTGACGAAACATATTCAAGAGGAAATCCCGAAATGTATGCTCTTCGCGGATGATATAATTCTTATAGCAGAGACAAGAGAAGAGGTTAATTGCAAACTTGAGTAATGGAGGAGGACATTGGAGTCAAAAGGTTTTCGTCTGAGTAGAATTAAGACGGAATATTTATATTATAAATTTGGTAAAGGACTATTCAAAAATAATTTGAAAGTGAAATTGGGAGATCAAATTATACCTCAAGTGGAAAAGTTTAGATATTTGGGAGCCATTATTCAAAATGATGGCGAAATCAGTGGAGATATTTCACATAGAATTCAAGCTGGATGGTTTAATTGGAGAAAAGCTAAAGGAGTTATTTGTGACCGTAAGGTGCCTAATAAACTTAAAGGAAAGTTTTATCGCACTGCTATCAGACCAGCAATGTTATATAGTAGTGAATGCTGGGCTCTAACGGGACAGGAAGAGCATAAAGTTGGAGTAGCAGAGATGAGAATGTTACGATGGATGTGCGGACATATACGTAAAGATAAAATTCGAAATGAGCATATACGTGAAAAAGTGAGGGTGGCACCTATTGAGGAAAAAATGGTAGAAAATCGGTTGAGATGGTTTGGGCATGTACAAAGAAGACCAAGGGAGGCACCAGTGAGAAGAGTGAAACATATAACTTTGAGTCCGATTAAGAGAGGTAGAGGAAGGCCTAAAAGAACACTCTTGGAAGTTGTTGAACGTGATCTCTTAATTAATAATATTTCTAAAAGGTTAATAAATGATAGAGCACAATGGCATCTTGCAATCCATGTAGCCGACCCCACCTAGTGGGATAAAGGCTTGTTGTTGTTGTTGTTGTTGTTGTAGGCTTGGAGATGGAAATTTGCTTGAAAGAAATACCTAAAATTTATTTATTTAGACATGAGAAAAAATTTTAAATGAATGAGTTGTGGTGTATCGTGCTGTTATAATGCATTTTCTTGATGGTGTTGGGTTGTTGGTTTCAAGGCTAAATGGAATACTATTGTATAGATTGATACAATGTCATTATGAGAATTATTTGTGGGCGCTTCCAAGATGTTGTGTAAATGATTACAATAAGAGTAATGTGTTTGGAATGGCTGGTGTTGAAGTAATTGTTAGAATGAAAGTGGAAGAGAAGAGCTTAAATGGGATACTTGGAGATTAGTGCTTATGAGATGTTTATTAAAATGCTTGTTAGGAGAATTGAACCTGATTTTGAAATTTCATTGATTCTTGTAGAAAGTAGAGTTAGCTTAGATGTTGTTAATCTATAAATTTGACTTGAAAGTTGCAAAGGACATTTGACTACGAAATTAATAATATGTGCTTACTAGAGTGCTTGGAGATCGATAGTTTGTTGAGAAAATATTTAAATGCTAGAGTTTTTTTTATTTCTTTTTATGAGGGGATTGAAAAGGATGTATTTAGTATCTTGACAAATTGCTAATGATGAATATCTTTTAAACAAACCTTTGGTTTTCATGTTTTAAATGTATTATAGTAGATTACCGATTAGACGGTTGAAATGGAATTAATGTACTGGCTGAGAGTTGAATAAAGTTTTAATATGATTTATAAGGTGTTTGGAAGAGAAGAAGTTTGATTAAAGCTGAGAGGAGAAATTTGACTTCTGGAGAAATTTCAGGTAAGTGGATAGCGTCCCAACTGATTTTTTTAATCAAAATTTCTTTTACTAGAATATTACGTTTTTCTGGAAATCATTTTAATAGCATTAATGCAATTATTGGATATTTGTTGATTAACTTTACTTTATTTTGAGAAATTAGCTTTATCAAATTTGAAATGTTATTTGATCAATTAAATTAAGTTCGAACTTTGATTATGAGATTTTTTATCAAATATTGAATTGATATAGAGAATGATTCATGCGAGTTCGACTTTGAAATTTTGATTATTCGATAAATGCAAGCATGAGCATTGGATATGAAATTTTATTCTGGCAAGTTTTCATGCTTAAAAGTATTCATGCGAGTTTGATTTTGAGAACGAGAACGGTATCATGAAAGTGATGATTTTCTCGCATGTTTGAAAATGGTTTTAAAAAAAGGGACTTTATACGGAACACTGGTTGCTAACGGCAGTTCCGTTAGCCCTTGGCGTGCCATGGTACACCTAACTAGCAGGGTGTTTATAGGAGGTGCTAGCCCCGTGCGATGGCCAACGCACGTGGAATGGAGGGATGGTTATTCGTGAGCGTCATACTCACGTTTGTTTCGTGGCTTCAAGCCGCGTTTGATTAGCGTTACCCTCGTGGACTGTGTGTCCACGTTTGTTTCGTGGCTTTGGCCGCATTTGGTTACTTACCCTCGTGGACTGAGTGTCCACGTTTGTTTTCGTGGCATAAGCCGCGTTTGGTTAGTTACCCTCGTGGATTATGTGTCCACGTTTGTTAATTGTTCTGATAAGTCCTTATATTTATGAATCCAATCGTTTGATGATTTCATATTCTATTGGTTTTTATTTAGTAATTTGTTTATAAATATTTATTTCATTTATGTGCTTTCTTGAAATCAAGTGATAATATCATTTTCTATGATAGTTTAATGATTTGAGATTTTATTTGAAATTTATAGAGCCATTTTATTATGAAGTTTATAAAATTTTTATGAAAATTTTGTCTATTTAACTTACATAACTATTTCAAACTTTTCATTTTATTTATGTTTTATTATTTATTGTTGGGACGTTATTCACTGGAAAAGATATTTTGGTCTCAGATGGTATAGTTGAACTCGTGACCCGAGATATCCACTTAGGAGTTTTATTGTTGAATTGAAGCAGAAGAATTATTTCAGTCAAATCCTAATTTGATGAAAAATTTGAACTTTATACTTACGTTGGCGTCTGGCCTCAGGTGCTCCACGTAGACTATAGGTAGGATCCTTATATTTCTTTTAAAGTTGAATATCTGAATTAATATTGTAACAATTTCTAATTACTTTATTAGTGTGTTTAATATATTAATTTCAGAGTTTCTCCGATCAAGGCTTAAGGGATATGAATTTTGTGCCCATATCCTGTGCCGGTCACACCTGATTTTTAGGGCGTGACACCCCACAACAAAATAGGGTTGTAGAAAGAAAACATAGACATATATTGGAAGTTTCTAGAAGTTTACTTTTCCAAGCCAATTTACCAATCAAATTTTAAGGGGAAGCTGTTAGGACCACAGTCTATTTGATTAATAGAATTCCCTCAAAAGTCTTGCATTATAAATCTCTATATGAAGTTTTATACAAGAGACCCCCAGACTTATCTAATTGGAAAGTGTTTGGGTGTTTAGCTTATGCCAAAATCCCTGGAAGATTAGATAAGTTTCAAACCAAGTCTATCGAGTGTGTTTTTTAAGGGTATCCAAATACTCAAAAAGGGTATATTCTTTATGATTATAAAAACGATACTATTCTTGTTAACAGAATGTTATATTTCTTGAGAAACAATTTCCATTTTTAGATCAGCTTCCTACTATTAAAAAGCAAGATCAGGTACATACTCATGACCTATTTATATTTGATGATATATCTGCACCTACAATTTATCCTGACCCCTATTTGAACATTAGTAATGAACCTATTCTTAAATCGAATGAAAATCATGATGTTCCTAACAATGAACCTGATTTAAATAATAACAAAAACACTGCCATAGACAATAGCAAACCTATTAGACATAGAAATGCTAATAGTTGGCTTAGAGATTATGACTGCTCTAATGTGGATTTTTTGAATAAAATAGACAAAAAAGGGAATAAGAAAATTTTATACCCTATGCAACACAGCATCAGTTATGCCCACATTTCTAAATCATATAAAGAATTTATAGCCTTAACAGACGATGTTAGTGAGTTTGATACATTTGAAGAAGCTATAAGAGACAATAGGTGGATTAAAGCTATGCAAGATAAAATTATTGATTTAGAAAGAAATCAAACATGGGAAATAGTGGATTTACCTCCAAGTAAGAAAGCTATAGGATGCAAATGGATTTTCAAAAAGAAATTTAATGTTAATGCTATCTTCAATAAATTAAAAGGCAAATTAGTTGCCAAAGGATTCAGTCAAGTAAAGGGTATAGATTACTCAAAAACATTTTCTCTTGTTGTAAAAATGACTACTGTTCATTTTATTTTAGCTATTGCTGCCCATAATAATTGGAATCTGGTTTAAATGGATGTAGATAATGCTTTCCTTCAAGGGGATTTTGATGAAGAGGTATATATGAGAATTCCTCTAAGATTTAGCAAATAGGGGAGAAAAGGGTATGCAAGCTAACTAAATCCTTATATGGTTTAAAGCAAGCGGCTAGGCAGTGGAATATTAAGTTGTGTGAGGCCTTAATTGCTTAGGGTTTTCTTCAAAGCATGTATGATTACTCCTTGTTCACCAAACAAGAAAAAAATGATTTTATAATTGTTCTAGCTTATGTGGATGATCTTGTAATAACTGGAAATAGTGCGAAGGGATAAAGAAAATGAAAGACTTCCTTCATATGAATTTTAAAATAAAAGATTTAGGTTCACTAAAATATTTTCTTGGCATTGAGGTTGCTAAATCAAATAAAGGGTTAATACTAAATCAACAAAAGTAATGTTGGGAGCATCTACTGGTTTGGGAGCATTCCAAACCAAGGAATGTTCCTTTAAATCCTAGTATAAGGCTTAATAGCAAACCTAAAAAGGGGGAGAAAGATGACCTCTTAAAGGATTGTACTAGATACAGGCGTTTGATAGGGAAATTATTATATCTGACTACCACAAGACCAGATATAAGTTATGCTGTCCAGTTAGTAAGCCAGTTCATGAGCAGCCCTAGGAAATCACATTTAAAAGCTGCCTTGAATGTTGTGAAGTACTTGAAAAAGGATCCTGGTAGGGGCCTCTTATTTCCTTCTTTAGGAATCATGAAAATAGAAGGTTTTTGTGATTCAGACTGGACCTCATGTCCAGAATCACATAGATCTGTTACAAGATACTTGGTTAAGTTAGGTGGAGCCATTATTTCCTGGAAATTAAAGAAACAAACTACAATTTCTAGATCATTTGCTGAAGCAAAGTATAGAGCATTGAGAAGTATTGTTTCTGAAATTAGTTCGCTTACTGGATTACTTAAGGATTTGCATTTTTGTGATTTAACTCCTGTTTGTGTTTATTGTGATAGTAGAGCTGTGATTCAAAATGCCTCTAACCTGGTTTATCATGAAAGAACAAAACACATCGAGATTGATTGTCACTTTGTGAGGGAGAAACTTCAAGATGGCTTGATCAGTTTGAGGCATGTTGTGTCTGAAGAGCAATAAGCGGATCTTTTAACCAAAGCCCTTTGTAGGAAAATGCATGAACGCATGTTGAGCAAGTTGGGCACCTTTAATATTTTTGGGACCAACTTGAAGGGGAGTGTCGAGAGTTAGAATAAAATAGGTTTTAGGCTGTCATTGTAAAATTTTGGGCTGTCATTGTTAATTTGGGCTAAGTCCAGTCCGTATTACTTGCTTTACTCGCTGGTTTCTTATTGCTTGATATGTATTTAAGGCTGGTTCAGGTTGTACTTTGGAGGCTAAGTAGCCGAAGATGGCATTCAAAATAAATAAAAGTTTTCCATTACCTTTCTGTAATTTTCAATATCAGAGAATTACATATACCATGTTGGTTCTTTGTCAACAAATCCTTTTAGACTAGCCTCTATTCGTGATATCATGTATCTCTACTTCAAAAACAACTCATTGACCGCCAAAAATGGAGAACCACTGAAGATTCATGCCAAGCCAGCAGTAGCAAGCAATGGTCGTTTCCATATGTTTTTGTTGCTTCAGTACCTGCTTCCGCTCATGTTATATCTGCTACGCTTGAAGCTATACTTCACAACAATCTCTCTCTCTCTCTCTACAACATATACATACTCTCTCCAGACTTATGTATAAGTAATTTTCTAGGAGGAATTGATGGTCTTTTTATATAACTTACTTTGCATAAAAAAGTAGTTCATTATGAATCACTTTTCTATGAGTAGAATAAAAGAATATATATATATGAAGAGAAAGTGTTTTTAAAGACCATTCATTTATTAAGGTTAAACTGGGAAATTTTTTTCGGACAAATATCATAGTTTAACTACTTTTTTTATTCTGATAAGGCAGTTAAAAATGACTTGTGTATAACAAATCAGAGGGAGTATTTTGTATATATTCAATCCTGTCTAATTCATAAGATTGCATATACATACTAATGTGTTTGCACGACTTGGTGGATTTGAAAAGGGATTAAATTTAGTGAACAAAGTGCTCTACAGACGCTTCCAAAATGTTTACAGTGGGAGCCACAGGAAAATTAAAATGGTGATACGAATGGCCGAGCTTTACAAACCCTACGTGTTTCTTAAGGCTACGTATGTTTTTAAATTGTTAATTCTGTTTTCATTAATTTCAAACTGATATATTATATGTTAATTTGATGAAAGTTGTAGCATAACATACTTGCAATGATTATTGATGATGTTATGAAAATATAAAACGAACAGGTTCCACGACACGAAAACAGAAAAGCCCAGGAAGGCAACAAAGTTGGAGAGAGTTGGAAGCATTGATTGGACAGCGGACGTGATAAATGTCCACATTCCTGGGCCTCATCAAGCATGCAATCAAGTAATCTTCCAAGAATCTCCATGAAGTCAATAGAATCCCATTGTAGCAGCACTGG